TAAGCCGAAGTTCACTGTTACCCGAGTACTTTCTGTGATCACTTTCTCAGATTATGGCAGGCAGTTTCTGTTTCATTCAAATCAACTGACTATATGCAACAAAAAATCTGTTAATTTCCTCAAACCTGCTCCGTCCTACCAATACGACAATGATTCCCAAACATTAATGTTAAGGTGACCATTCTCTGGGAACGTTCATCGCCAACTTCTTCACCCTACAACAATAACCAAATAATAAGACGTTTTCTACTTCAATAATTGCGGGAACCATTCTCATGAAGTACACAACAACGGTAACGCCGAATAAAGACAACATTTTTGAATAAAAAATGTTGTGTTTTTCTACTTCAGATCTATAAGAGTAATATAGTAGATGAAGATTGAATTTAATTGACCGTGTTAATCACGGACTGCCATTAAGGTAGATCATCATGCACCATACAGTAAATTCGCCTATAGATCTTGTGATGGCTGCGAATTGAGAAACATACTTCTCAAATTCATTAATAATTCATGAGCAATTCAGCCAATGATAATCACCTATTTGATCACAAGATGCCATTTGGATACTTGATGAAAGTCACTAGTGTTTTCATCAAATATCTTAATTACGCATGCAAAATTACTTGAATAGAATTCCTAATTACGTTATGCTTGGTTAAGAATTCTATTCAAATCAGGAAACGAAAACATTCTGTTACGTCTCGATTCATTTGAGAAGCCATATAAACAACTCGAGCTCGTGTCTCACCGGGATATCCAAACACTCGAAAACAATGTGTGAAAACACTCGCGCTTCGCGCTCGTGTTTTCATACATTGTTTTCTCGTGTTTGGATATCCCGGTGAAACACTCGCTCTCGTTGTTCATATATTACCTGAAAAATACAAGCCGAATTAAGCGTCTCTACAGGCCCATTTCCACTCAAGAAAAATTTCCACGGACAGAAAATTTTCCGAAAATATCATTGTTAAAAGTTGAAAATTTTCAACTGCAAAATTTTTTTCCGACGGAAAATTTGTGGCGGCCAATCAAATTTTACAACATTTTCTTTCTGCGGAAAATTTTCCTGAGTGGAAATGGGCCCTACTAACTTCCCGACGAAAGGCCTTCGCTCGAAACATCGAAGTTCTGCTTGTAATTTTCATATGGTTGTATCTCTCTTAATCCGCAGCTGTCCTTTTATGGGCCCCTTCTACACTGGCGCAGACCGTTAGAGATTATATCGCATATAGATTTTCACTTACTTTCTCCAAAGGAGGAAAGTGTAGCATTAAATCATTCTCGCTCTGCAACTTTGATATTTGATCCTGTTACAATAGGAAAATAACGTGTTTCAATGAATATACCGGTTTTGGAGATTGTAAATTTTCGATTTTATTCGAGTGTCATCATAGGGAATGATCAGACTACACCTACAATGAGCAGTCCATTTCAACAAATGAAAGAAACAAAACTATATCTTGATTATAAAGTAACAGTTGAATACGTGGGAGTGTATATACAAACTCACTAGAATTTCCAGTCTGTAACCCAGCGATTGTATTCCCAAATCTTTTAGGTCGTCAATAGTTAAAACAAGCAATCTAAATTGAAACCAAATATATAGATAAACCCTTCTTAAAAATTATTTCGTGTTTAAAAATTCATACGTAGGCTTCTCAATAATGTTAAGCCATTTTGACACATTTTCCACATTTTTCTGTTTGTGAAAACACTGCTTTAATTTGTGTGGAAAATATTTTGATCCGCAATCCCGGATCATCAAACATATGGAACAATTATTTTCGAAAACTTAAAATAACAAAACGTATTGCTTTTCCACGAATGACAAAGAGAAAGAAGCAATTATAGAGGACATATTCATTAACATTCCTGCACACAAATGACTATTTTCTTCCTCCTTCCTAATCAATAGAGCGTTTGCACATGACGTCACAGCCGCCATGTTGGTGTTCCAATTCAAAATAATTTCAATTAGACTTTTAATTGGTCCCTGGGGAATGAGTGCAAACGCTCTATACTAGTAATACCACATTAGGAAGTTTGAATGAATGAAGTACGTATTTAACATGCATAATATTGTACAAATGAATTCCTGAATATTATCTCGACTCAAAACACGTCATGAGAATGTGCAATGGATGAGTTGCCGGTTCGCAGGCCCCTTTGTTTTGTGCGGCCAATTGCCCCGTGGCGATCCCATAATGCATTGCATTTGCACATAACGCAATGTGTTATGGGATCGCAATGACAATTAGCCGTATAAAACAAAGGAGGGTATGCGAATCGGCAACTCATCCATTGAGACTATATAGAAGTTGGTTCATTGTATACTGCATAATTTCGGAATATCAGAGCATCATAAAAATACATAAAACCTCTTCCGAACCTTTAACAACATACCTTTTCCCATTAATATTATTATCCACAAATAGTTGGGCATAATTTGAGATAGTCCTGTTACCAACTGCATAAGATAGATAAGATGTTTGTTTAGCTATATATTATATGGTAACATTTAAACAACAACACGAAAATAGGTGAGTGAATCATTTACACATGTTACCTTGTATTCCAATGTGTTCCACCCATAAGAACTATTTTGAATAACAAAAAATATTTTAATATTATACCACTCATTGCAAACACCAACTCGCAAGCTCGCTGCGAGTGATTGCATCGAATGGATGATTCCAGCTATAGAGGAAATTTCGATCCAGACAAGAAGAAGGAAACATCACCATAGCTGGAAAGAGCATCTTAAAATGAGTAAAATTGCAAAGTTTGGTTGCAAATTGTTGTAAAATGAGGAAAATATAGCCCTGCGTGTGAAGTTCGCAAATTTGGTATATATTTGCATTACGCGCGGGAAAAATAACCATTTTTGAGCAGAAAGTAGTTATTTTACCGCGCGTAGGTAATATAAATATATACAAAATTTGCGAACTTCACAGGGCTATATTTTCTTCATTTTACAACATTTAGCAACCAATCTTTGCAGTTTTACTCATTCTAAGACGCTCTTTTTCGTTCTTCTTGCCTTGATCAAAATTTAGTCTATAGCTGGAATCACCCATTAAAATAAACTGTCGAGTATTGTGATTGGATGAAAGTACTCGCAGCGAGCTTGCGAGTTCACTCTTGCGATGAGTGGAAAAAAGCCTTTAACTATTTACCTAAATATAATCTTATTGCATCTCTCGGAGAGAACATATACATTTTAGAGTAGTATTTCGTTAAAGACATTCATCATGGAAATAAATGTCTAAAACCCACCATCATGCATCTTGTTTAACAGTGGATGTAATATAACTTGTAACTAATGTAAGTACAAATAGCTTGGTTCTTGAAGCCTCTACTCTTCTACTTACAACGTCTTCTTCTGTCCAGGCATTCACGTCATGTTTGCTAACTACCTGGAAAAATAACAAACGAACAAAAATTAAATTCGTGAAAGCTTTCCTATTTGTAGTATGACTGTTGTGGTCAAATCAATGACTACGTCAACCTCGTACCCAAGCTATTTTCTCTCACACTCACCGAAAAAGGGGAAAATTGATAGAGCTAGGCTATGGTTCAACAGGTTATATAGGTTCTCATATAAAATACAGTATTGTCACTCCGAAAACGGTAAACATTTTGAAAGGTGTTGATTTGACGTTTCGACAAGAGTTTAGTAATCATAGATTGTGTTGACTAGATTGTATAGACTACATTGTATAGACTACATTGTATACGACTATATTACTAGATTGTGATGATGATGTTTAATACACACTATTGCATTAAAAAATGAATTATGCTACAATGTGTTTACAGGAATAGAACTTATTAACATATGATATAAAAGTTACAAACTACATATGACTATAGTATTTTAATAAAATCTGATCTAAAAGGAATGGACCTTTCCCCTTATAACTAAATCTCAAAATTAGTACTCACAAAATAATAATATTCACAAAATTAGTAATATTCCAAAGTTTCGTTGCGAAATGTTGTAAAATGCGGATAATATAGCCTTGCGAAGTTTGCCGTTTTTCAGTCATTTTGTACTACGCATGGGAAATTGACAGCCCAATCGGGTGTTGGGGCATCAATTTCCCGTTTGTAATACAAAATGACTGAAAATTGCAAATTTCACAGGGCTATATTATCGGCATTTTACAACATTTCGCAACGGAATATTACTAATCTTGTGATGCTCTTTCAAGCTGTGATGAAATTTTTGTCCAGACTTGTCTAGATCAAAATTTTAGTTATAAGGGGAAAGGTCCATTATTATATCAGTTAATTAACATTGCTTGCATTAGCTATAGAGAGTGTTTCTCGGGTGGAAAAACTATTCCTAAAATGGTCCGTTCTGCACTTACACATTGTCCAATTGTTCGAACTTCTAGAGTCACATGATTGAGAGAGGGGATTGTATTTGATTAAAATTACTCAGTGATTCCCGCAATTTGTATATGTCGAATATATTATTGAAAGCTGACACAACATAGTTTTAAGGACGTCGCACCTGCTTTGACTGAGGCAAAAGAATACAGATCATACAGAAGCCCCAAAAAAGCGCAACCGCCGCCACGTGATTCGTCATCAAAATGCACTCGCCATGTTCCTAGCCAGTGCGCTTACGAGAGGCATTATAGGGAGGTTAAGATACACCAAATCTATGACGCGGACGTGACAAAAAACTGTCGCTTTTTTCACAGTTTCACTTCACGGGTAAAAACTATGGATTGTTGTTGGTAAACAAAGCCAGGGACACAAGAAAAACAGGGAACGCGGAGACGGGGGGGCTGGGGGGGGGGCTTTAGCCCCCCCCACTTTTTTTGACAGCCAAAATTATTAAAATAGAAATCTAAATGAAACTTTCTAAATTAATTAATTGGGGGTTTTATTGATGATTTAGCCCCCCCACTCTCTAATACGCTCCGCGGGCCCTGAAAAACAAAGTAAAACTATAGTCTCCAATTATTAGCGACTGTTTTTCGTCGCGTCCGAGTCGCAGATTTGGTGCATCTTAAGGCCGTTTTCCATTAACGTTCGCTTTGGCCGCGCGGGCGAAGCGTTCATTGTTTTTGACGCTCGTCACTCCCGCGTGAGCAGACTTTCAAAGCCCGCTCCGCCCGCGCGGGCAAAGCGACTGCAATAGAAACCGCTCGCTATTCACTCCCTGAACGTCCGCCATTTTGAATATTTTCAGGCAACAGCATTGCAAAGGTTACGCTAAAATTATTGGCGTCGACAAGAAGTCGGACTTCTGTATGTTCTCTATTCTGTGGCCAGGAACCCGCTACAAACATGGCTTTCGTAAGAGCCTGGGAACGAGGTTGTTTCATATGACGAATACACAATCTCATTGGCTGTCATTGACCGACGCTGTTCGTAGCGGGTTCTAGGCATCCAACGTAGTAGCCATCACAACATTGAAAAACGGCGAATTGATTGCCGAAAACATTTTAGTTCAATTATTTTAGCGCAGCTTTTAAAATATTTCGAGTAGTTTTCGATAGTTTTAAGGAACAGCGATGTATATTTTTATTTTCTTACCAACCTTAAAAATAATTGTTAACTATTTGGAATGCAGTGAACGAGACGTCGCCCGTATATAGGCATCCATATACAGTATAGAACCCCGCTAACTCGAACTCCCAAGGGGAACGAAAAATATGTAGAAATTTACAAAAGGGACTAAAAAAATTAGATCAATAACAATCGTCCCAACTATGTGTATAATCCCTTAAAATTCATGATCATTTATACACCGATTAAATTGTTGTTATTTGAATAAAAATCCAAGTTACCGGTTGTCAAAATGCTATGTTCTGACATTTTAAGGCTTGCCGATCCACGACTCGAATACAAATTCGAGTTCACGGGATAAATTTGACCAAGGGAAAACAAAATTTGTTCGAATTTATTTAGCGAGGAGTTCGAGTTAAGCGGAGTAAATTACTATAAAAAACAGTATCAGATCCAAGGGGAATTGGATTTAGTTCGAGTTAAGCGAGTTCGAGTTAGCGGGGGACTACTGTAGAACTGCAGAGTTGCATTATCTAGACTAGACTTTTATCGCCATATTTAACAAGGCAGGCATGGTTTTATTATTATTTTATTCAAATATCGGACATGTGGGCTGCCATAAATATTAATAATTAAACATTTTAAAAATAATAAAATGAGAAAATCTTTGCATTTTCGCTATATTGTCTTATTGACCTATTCAATAAATGTAATTCTTCAGCAGTTCAGGGCTTTCATTCAACGCTGTGGAAAAGTGAAGAAGATTTAAGTTATTTAACTATAACTACAAGTTTATTTCGACTTTAATTAAACAATTTAAATTTACTCTTTAATTTTAAACACTTTAATCAACCCATCCAATTTGGTGAGAGAGTGCATGCAATTTGACAGTGTGAAATAATATTAGTATTATTTTTTAATATCATGGAACTGTCAGAGTTTCTTTAGACTTATAGCCTGACCGCCTGCTGCATTATGTACACTTGAAGACAGTACACTCACGCACCGTCATGAAAAGTTTCAAATATGGCTATGCAAAACAAAAGTTGGAAATTCACTACATGCGATTCAAGTTTTTCGTATATTTTGATTGAAAATAAAAATATAGTTGCAATAATTGTGACCATCGTTATAAATATTCTACTCTCATTATTTGGAACAGTTGCCAACGGTCTGATCATACTGGCATATTGTCGCAACCGTCGCTTGAGGACAATTCAGAATTTAATTTTTTTTTTACTGGCTTTTACGGACATTAGTGTGACAGCTCTGATACAGCCGATGCTTGTAGCTGTAAACTTTGGCGCTATATTTGAATATACGAACTTTTGTTTAATTTTGAGAATATGTGGTTTATTATCATTCGTTTGTGTTAACTTATCGTTGACAACAATTGCTATTCTGAGTCTGCAAAGTTTCGTTACTTTAGCCTACCCGTACCGGTATCAAAATATTATTACGAAATTTCGTCTAAAAATAACTTTGGTCTGTTTCTGGCTTTCTATTTTGACATTAATGTTAATAGAAGTTGTCCTTAATGAGAAAAAAGTTGTATCATATGGATCGCTTGGTATTATACTCCCCGCAATTTCCATTGTGGTGTTTACATGGATTTGGACTTGCAGACTTGTTGCTCGACATCGACAAGCTATCAGGACAACTCAGAATCCATCAACCCCCGAAACTGTCACAAGAAAGAAGATTTTTAAATCAACTGTTACTTCTATTGTTATCATTTCAAGCCTGTTGGGATGTTATTTTTTCTTTGTAGGCATTCTTCTCTGCCATATTGTGACTGAAGGACTTGAAACACACAACTATTATATATCATGGATGGTGGCTGCAACATTGATGTATTCAAATTCACTGATTAATCCGTGTCTTGTGTTTTGGCGTAACAGCAATTTTAGGAAAACTGCTTGTAAAATTTGTTCACAAGATTTTCTTAGAGACCAAAGGCAGGAGCAATAACCTATACTCTCAATTTAAAAATTGAGGTAAGAACGGCAAATAAGGATCTGATGGAGTTCCAGCTGAGGTAATAGAGACCTTACGATTTTAGGACGGCAACGCGACGACGACGGCCAAAATAAACTCCTTCAAATAAATGGTAGTAAAGATCATTCGCCGTATATTATCAATCGTATGAATTTAATACAGTCTTAGAAGTTGAAGGCATGGGTTTTATGGTTGGAAAGAGTTCTGCTGAACCCAGTTTGAAGTTGCACTTGTTGCGGCTTGAAATGCAGCCATTGTATCAAGACGTGAAAATCTGTGATTTGGCGTTGTCGACGACAATGTCTAAATTATTCATATATTGTAATTATTCAATTCTTTTCAATGATTTATTGTATTGGTAGCCGTTGCCGTCGCGTTGCCGTCCTAAATCGTAAGGTGCCAAATCAACATCTGAACTGCCAGAAGAATTCCGAAAGAGTGTTGAGAGGTGATCATCGTCAAGCTACAAAGAAAGACGGACGTCACCAACTGCATTAAATATAGAGGAATCATGCTCTTCTCGGTACTTGGCAAAATGTTACACAGAGAACAAGAACACGCTAATTTTTTCTACAGTTGTGAAAATTAATATTGCTTTGCTATATACTGGATCATACAAGCTACATGGCCTGTAATGTAAATTGTTGTAAACATGGCATGTTTTAAGAGAATGCATGCATTCATTAACATCCTTCAATATCCGTGGAATGCACTAAAACAACTGATTTCAAAATTTCGTATTTTAACATCCCACCCCCAAAATAACAACTTGACGTTACACTTAGGGTTAATGTCAAGCTCAAAAATAGCCCATACGCTTATCGTATCGTATTGAAGGGGTACAGATACAGCACTGTTCGGTAAAAAGTGTTTCACCATGCATGCACATGTGACATACGTGGTACTAAATGAGCGGTTAAGTTCATTATTCTGTCATTTAAATTCATCAAGTTGCTTAAGATATTAAACCATCTATTTATCGCTTTTATTGCCATTTGCTATCTTCTACCGGGTGTCCCAAAAAAAAGTACTCCGGTTTGATTCGTAATAACTTCGAAACAAGTAAAGCTTTTAAAGAGAAATAACTTGCATCAAATAGAGGAAGCACTAACTTAGATTTTGATATATTACACTTGTATTTCACTTAAAATTCGCGGAGATATTAATGTTTAAAATCGGGCGCATATTTCTGGATGTGTCTGAAATATGAAAAAAAAACGGGGTATCAAATATTAATCAAGATTTGCCCGACTGAAACATGCACTATTACCAGTAAATAAATGACACTTGACAAATTGTTTATTATGAAACAAAGTATTATTATCTACAAAATACAAGGAAGATTTATTCGTCCGAAATCCGCGTGTGTTCCTAGCACGAGTACGTTTCCTTATTTCATAAGACCACTGACTGCATCGCGAAGGATCGTCATGGATCGTTCGTGTTCTGAATTAGGGGTCTAATAGGGGATGCTGTCACAATGGAATTGTGAAGCTTTTCTAACTTTTGCAACGTTCTGAAATCTTGTTAAGAACACTCAATCTTTTTTGCTTTTTCTTAATCTTGGCAAGTTCGGAATAAACTAAGAATGAAACACAATCAAACCATACAACTCCATAAGACATAACAAGCAACTCCCCAGAGACATCCAACATTTTTGGAACAAAACGTAACAAAATAGCAGCGTTGATACTGTGATGTGTATTTGCAAAATGCAGTATTATTTCCTTCATTAAAAAATAATATTCATCCTGCTCTAATCGAGAAATATTCAACTCTGTTTTCAACCCATGAAAAGCATAAAAAATATAGGCTATTTAAGAAAAATTTAAGCGCCTGCCTTGAATGGTCTTTCATGTACCTTTAAGTTTGTATTAAAGACCTATTAAATACTTGCATAATTTCGAACGTTTATATTTCAGGAAACAATGAGCTTAGATGTAAGATGTCTAAATCTACGCCATATCCTTATACAATCCCTGACGACAATTCGCTGAAATACAAGTTAGCCTGATATGTCATTAAACAAACAAACGCTGGAGTTAATATTTGATATGCCGATTTTCGCTAATTTTAGACATATCCCAAAATATGCTCCCGATTTTGAACATTAATATCTCCGTGAATTTTTAAGTAAAATACAACTGTAATATATCAAAATCTAAGTTAGTCTTTCCTCTATTTAATGCAAGTTATTTCTGTTTGGTAGCTTTACTTGTTTAGAAGTTATTATAAATCAAACCGGAGTACTTTTTTTTGGGACACCCGGTACATGGTCTGCAAAGTCACCTACATTGCTGAATATGGCATTACTCATTAGAATATACGCAATTGACAGCATTTATATTCCCCAAATCCGGAAATGTCCTGCATGACATAGTCTGCTCATAAAATTTGAAGCGGAAATCAGGCTATGACATTGTGTTCCTAAACATTTACTCCTGAAGCCTGAAGCAATAGATATATTATTGATTCAGTATCTAGAATAGACAATACAGTATACATTCAACCATAAACGAAATTGATTGTTAGTCCTCCACGTGTGGACCTTCCGACAACAAAAAAGTATGCCCGGCCACGGTGGGATTCGAACCTACGACCTTTGGATACTAGCCCAATGCTCTTCCAACTGAGCTACGCGGTCAGGACGGTTCGAGTAAACCGTCGTGACCGCGTAGCTCAGTTGGAAGAGCATTGGGCTAGTATCCAAAGGTCGTAGGTTCGAATCCCACCGTGGCCGGGCATGTTTTTCAAGCTCGCCCGGTGTGGATATGCACTCAGAGTAACACCACAAATATCATATTCACCTGAGTACACCACAACAACACAGAAAAAAAAAAAAAAATTATCATCACTAGTATCACTATAATTTATGTAATAATGTATTGTATATGAAGTTAGCAACCGATGTCAATGAAAATAAGTATTAATTCGAATATTGTTCTTCACTTTCATTCCGGGAAAATGAAGAGCTCACCGGCCTGTTTTAATCACGCAAGCAATTAATATCGAGTGCATGAGTAAATGAGTACTGAAGCCATTTGATCTGTGCACAGAAGCGATAACAGATCTTCTTGTTCAATACTGGTAGAGTTAACCCTCCGTGTAGGACCTATATGTAAACGCACAGCACCTCCTAACAAAGACTGCAAAAAATTAGCAACAACCAATGTTGTACTTCAATATATTTTATAGGGCACATCAGGCTAGATTATATTTAAACTACTTCCTTCCAGGGAGTTGTGCTTAGTAATGACTTAATAATCATGAACTTGATCTCATTGATCCTCTCTCATTAAATATTTATGTGGCTCTAACATGAAATGGCTTTGCTATGTCGGAATCTTTATTAATTTCAAGTTGAACACTTTTTTCAAAAAACACCAATTGAAACTAAAATAAATCAAGGAATTTCTCATGTTATTACCCACCAGGACTTGTCACCCGTTACCCTCCCCCTTTTTTTGAGAGGCCTTGTTAGCATTTCACGACTATATGCACCACTACATACATTCTATACTTACATATTATGTATCCCAATGTGATAAGATTGCATAACTATACATACATTTGAGGAACTTCTTTGATTATACGATGAAGAAAAACATATTAATTAATAATTATGCTTGTGATGTTACTCTGAGTGTATATCCACACCGGGCAAGCTAGAAAAATATGCCTGTCAATGGTGGGATTCGAACCTACGACCTTTGGAATACTAGCCCAAAGCTCTGCCAACTGAGCTACGCGGTCAGGTCGGTTCGAGTGTGTGATATTTCAGAACAGAATCTAGTTCTTTCGATATCAATGTAATCTAGTAATACCATGATTTTTTTTACTTTATTTAGGAGTCATTCCAGCTTGCTTATTTGGAATCTTCGTTCACACTAGACCGGAGTGAAATAATGCGGGCAGAATTTACGTGTGTTCACACTACGCCGTTAGGCGTTAAAGTGTGTTTACAAATTAACTGATTAGCACTCATGTAAACCCAAATTATTTCGAATAGAGCAAAGAAATTTAAACGAAAAGCATTCGACTTTGCTGTTTTGAGACCCGAGGGTTTTCACGCGGTACATTTATTTTCACAAAAATTGTTACAGCAAAAGCGACGTTTTCAAACAATTTCACTCCGGCGTATATAGTGATTAGCGGTGTGAACGCGACGGCTAATGAGTAATGCCTAATGAGTAATGAGTAATGGACCCATTCCCTAATGAACAAAATTTTGATCTAGAGTCGACAAGTCTAGACAAAAATTTTATCACAGCTTGAAAGAGCATCACAAGATTAGTAATATTCCGAAGTTTCGTTGCAAATGTTGTAAAATGCGGATAATATAGCCCTGCGAAGTTTGCCGTTTTACAGTCATTTTGTATTACGCACGAGAAATTGATATACCTTTTTTCAGAAAGCGGTATCAATTTCCCGTGAGTATAATACAAAATGACTGAAAAACGGCAATCTTCGCAGTGCTATATTATCCGCATTTTACAAGATTTCGCAACGAAACTTCGGAATATTACTAATTTTGTGATGCTCTTTCAAATATTTGTCTAGACTTGTCTAAATCAAAATTTTGTTCATTAGGGAATAGGTTCTATATATAACGTCAGTATAAGTGATTCATACAATACACTACAAAACACTATTGGTGAAAATCTTTCCATTTTTGCAGTATTAATCTATTCAATAAAATAAAGTAATTCTTTAGGGCTTTCATTAATTGCGAAACTGCTTGTATAATTTGCTCAATCCCCCCCCCCCCCCCCCCCCCC